TTTCACTAACATTACTGAAAACATTCAGCATTCAGACAAAAAGTCTAGACTTTAAAAAAAAAAACTAAAATCAGCTAAAGTTAAGCAAGCAAATGGAAAAAAATGTTAAATACTACAGTAACAGAAAGCCAAGGACTCGTTGCTTGAAACTATAAAACATTACTAAATGCCAGTCAATTACAACCTTAACATCTAAAAAGCAGTGAATTCCAACTAATAAGGAAACAGTAGTTTGTTCAATATTTTCTCCTGATCTGCTGGGTCTCTTTTACAAAGTACACCTCAAGCCCCTTGGGTTCATGTCAAAAGGCTGCACACAACCAACCGTAATGATATTAGTCAAATCCTCCCCAAATCCTGTATTTAGGGTTAAACCTTGCTGCACCACAGAGCGTGATAAAGCTGACAGCAGCGAACATTACCTTTAAATATAGCTCTTTGTTGACAATCAGGAGTGATTGTGTTCGTGAGCAGCAGCTGTGCTTAAAGCCCGACAACAAAGCTCTCATCCCAGCTCAGCTATCAACTCCCCCGTCTCACAGGCTGTTGTAGCAAGAAACAAACCCAAAACTGAAGCGTACAGCAAGCTAACAGCCTCTAGCTTAACGGCAGCTAACGGTAACAAGCGTCAAAGTTAACACCGGTGAAGCGAACAGTCCTGCTACTTACTTACAGGTTTGTTAAGAAGATGATAACCTGGCTGTTAAATCCTGAACAGACCCGGAGACGGGACGGAGGCTTTCTGCAAACTCCCTCCCTGCGACGGAAGCCAAGCCTGGCGACGTGAATTTGTAAGTGCTGCCTACTTCCCTGTTGAGATGACAAGGCAAAACTGAGAGATTTTATTGGTTTAACACAAACTCACCAGCGCTCGCGGCGGATCCCATCACTGAGAGAAGCGAATGACGTCATCGAGCGTGAATGTGGGCGGGGCGAAAGATAGAGACTCCGCCCCCAAACGAACGCTTGCCTGAATACTACAGTGTAAAAACGTATACTTAGAGGACATACTTCAATGTTTCTTCTTTGTTTTCGGTGTATTTCAGTAACTTTGCACCACCATGATAGGTCCAGCTTTGTTCCCACATTGTTTTGGGGATCTCTTTTAGAGTATGGAGACAATTCTAAAAATAATGTTTACAAGGTACTTTTTTTCTTTTTAGAGCAGATCTTAGCCAGAACCTATATTTACATAAATGTAGCACAAGTTGGTTAAAGCAGTTTCTTCAGTATGAGAATATAAAAATGTGAATGTTGAAAAAACAAGTGGGATTTAATTGATACTGTACCCCCTTTTTGTTTTAAAACGTGGCAAAAAACACACACACACACATTCTAAGCCAAAGTAATACTTTGTGTCCACAGTGGTTTAATAAGAAAAAGCCCACATAATAAACAGTTTATACCTGCAACATTTCCCATGTTTTTATACATAACAGCCGTGTTGGAAAGTGAACAGTGGACCATTCTGAGGTGTGATATCTTTGTAACTGTAGATCAGATTTCCTGAGTTCCCAGTCATTAAAACAATAAGAGCACCTTATGAAGTAAATATTCCAACTGTGACAGTTGTAGGTTGCCAAGCATGCATTGGTTTAGTTTTTAATTTGACTCCCAAGTTCATTGAATATAATAAAAGTTGCAGGTATAAACAATCTATTAACACTTTGGCTGGTTTGGTTTCCAAGACACGTTGAATGCACCAAGCAACCTCCAACTTTCCCTGACATTATAGGTTGTTCCTGTTAATTTTTTTTTTTACAAAGAATTTGGAAAATACATAATTTGATTTCAAACTGAACCCATATTAATGTCAGCCCAATAAAAGAGAAGTAATAAAAGTACCCAAACATGCATACATACAAACATTTTAAATAAATTAACCAATGCAAAGTACAAATATACCACTTTATTGTGTTGGTCAAAAAGTAGCTACAATGACTTGCATATATTATATATATATATATATATACACACACTTGACTTTAAATATTAAACTTCATGCATACCCATTCATATTGAGTTCATACTTTCAAATGCTCACTATTCCAAACAAAATATGCTTAAAAGTAAGTAAAACAAATATTACCCCCACTTCCACTCGCCCTCTTATAAATATATATATAAATGCATACTATGTACAACTCAAATAAGTTAAACTGTAAGACTTCTTTTTTTTTTTTCAATGTGGCTTTAAGATATTCCTCATACAACTTTATTTAGGAGACAGGACTGAACTACCATCACGTGGTGAAAAATACTCACTAAAGTCCAGTTTGAAGCTATTATAGGTATTCCGTAGCAATACTTACTAAGATGGTTAAAGTGTTAATTTAAATATGCAATCTTTTAAAAATGAAAATCACAAAGTGCTTCACAAAGACAGGGCATAATAATTCAAACGTAATTAATATGATTAACAGAGTCAATCACAGTCAAATACAAACTAAGCTGCTGAGGAACTCCAGTCCAGTAGGGGGCCTCACGGCACAATATAAATTAAGGATTAGTTTAAATCTCATAATAGGTTTAGAAAAAGAGTTTAAAATAAAATAAAAAGTTCAAAAGAAATTAGTCTGCATAAATATGCTGCAAGTCAGACATGAATGAAAGACAAAATGACCAACAGAAATAACATTGTTATTTCTGTTGGTCATTTTGTAATAGAAGTAATTTAATTACTTCTATCTTTTAAATAAATAATGTAACCTGTAATAAGGCCTAAAGTCAGGTTCTACTTTAGGCGTTGTGCAACTTTGAGTAAAATAAGTTAAAAAAAAAAAAAAAAAAAAAAAAATTATGTTTAGATAACAGCCTCTGGGTTTGTGTGATGTGGATAAGCATCTTTGTTCCCAGTACAAAGATTTGATTCACTGGAACCATTTTCCTAATTTGTTTATGTTTAAACCTTATTCAGGAAACACTGGTAGCAGAGTCAGGCCACATGCTCGAAGTCTCTTACTTCGGTCGGATGAAGACCCAGCCCTGATTCTCTGAGGTGGATCTGCATTTAGACAAAATTACGTTGCCACCGACGACTGTCAAACACTTGTCTGATAAAGGGTTCTTCATTTGGTTTTTCTGCCAAAACAGTAAAAAATGTAGAATGTCATTTTGAATATTTAAGAAGCGCACAACTGAGCAGCAAGAATGAGGAAATAGAAATCTTTCTTCTTCCCTTTGCAACAAAGCCAGTGTTGTAACAGCAAAAGGTTAAGATGATGTGGAAATACATTAATTCACCTTTGTGAAGATCCAGATTTGCTCTTGTGCCGCTTTTCCCTTCGAGTCGCACCGCTCAAGAAAAACCAAAGCCATTTCAGAGTTGGCATGCAAGCAAAACTGATTGCTAGCACTGAGTCGAATTTCACTCTTGGAGGTATACTCAAAATACTAGAAATGAAACGCACATAACATTTAGATGAAGAAAGTAATCACTTTCATTATTAATGTTTTTAAACTGCTTTATGAGGTTATTTATAGATCCAAACAAAAACAACTGTGAAAAAATCTGTCCCATAGATTACTATTCCCCCAGTAACTTTCATATCATCCTCAGGTGCTGTCCACTATCAATAATAAACCAACAGAAAGTAATGAAAATGTCTGTCTAGTTATATTATTAAAAGTATATAAGAAGTACATTAGCACTATTTTATTATTGTTTGGCATCGCTTTTCACAAAACCTTGATTCGTAGTTTTCAATTTGAAATTGCATTTACTGTAGCTACAGACAAAAACAATGGTCCCACAAAATGCAAAAACAAACTTGACTCCATTGATAAACTCCAAAGAGCTCAAAATAGATTTTAAAAATGTGGGATCTTGCCTTAGAAAGGCTAATTTGACCAAAGGTGCAATACCTGCGCTTCGCCTCGGTTGTTACATTTGAAGATTTGGCCCTCTTTCCAGCGGTTTTTGACTTTTCCCACATCCAGCCGGCAGCCGTAACCAGTGTTGTTTAACTTCATTATAATGAACAACAAAATGATGAACTGTGAGGTTTGTGAATCTGAATTTTGACAACATCTTAACAATGCAGTCAAATATTTTTGTAAAACACAAATGGCTGGAAGACAAAGTAGGTACCTGTCCATAGATGATGGGCCTGATTTCAGGGACATACGCCTCTGGGTAAATATTGTTCAGGTACCAAGAAAAGTTCTTGCAGTTAAGTTTTTCTCTGAGTTTACGGCGTTCAGAAACATCGCCGTATGAATCCTGGAAAGTAAATGAAAACGTATACACAGCAAGGTTATGTGAATAATGGCAATAATAAAATGCTTAATTTCAAGATATTATTTATTCTTACTGTTCGAAAAATGGAGACAGCCCTTCTGTTTGCGCGATAGAAGATCCACTTGTAGTCATCCATCCAGACCTCAGCCAGACGCACCAAGTTGCGGAGGATGACTGTGCTACCATTTGGAAACCTGTGAGGGCTCTTCTTGCGGAAAATGTGGCCGACAACAGAACAAGGAACGATCTCTAAGAGGCCTCCACACTGCCAAACCTGCAGCATAAAAAAACCCGGCAACTTTAACTAAAAACCTTTCAAGGCATGTGGCGCCTTGCAAAAGTATTCATGACGCTTGAACTATTTCACATCATAAATCTTAATGTTATTTGTTAAAATGTAATTTTGAATTAATGAGTTACAAGGTCAAGTATTTCTGAATTTGAATTAATGTGACAGAGGAAAGTTAGTATAATCCTCAAGTGCAAGGAAAAGAGGTGCATTGTTTTTAAAAAATATTTACCCATAAAAGCTGCAGTACAACTTTTATAAAAATGTGTTTTTTAGATATTTGTTAAAAATGTCATTATGTCTTGACAGTATAATACAAGTCAGATAATCTGTGAAAAAAATTAGCCCCTCTGACTGCTTTCTGTGGTTCTACAGCCATCTGTAGAAATGCACAGCTGTCAAAAACAACCAATCAGAGCCAGCAGGAGGGTCCTTTCACTTAACCAATATGCAATACTTGTGCTAATCTGTAGAATATAGAACAATGTTAACAAGCTTAAATGGTATGAATATGTTTGCACTGCATTTCATGTACATTTCTTACCCTGAAAGACATTTCTAGATTCTCCCCTCCCCAGAACTCCATCTGGTCATCATAGGATCCAATTTGCTCAAAGTAGGATTTCAAAATAGAGAACAGGCCACCAGCGAAGGTAGGCGTTCTATAAAATTTGAAAAAGCAGCAATGTCACAGTATATTTACTTAAGATTCAAAAACAAACTTAATCTATTGAGAAATTTCATTGTATGAGCAGAGTTCTCTTTCACTTAGAAAATAATTAAATTCAGTTTGGCAGTGTTCACACTGCAGACTGAAGTGACCCAATTCCGATTTTTTTTTTTACGTAATTCGATCCATATCTGAACTTTCATGGCAGCCTGAAGAACACAGGACGATTTTTTTTCCGAATACGACCCGGGCCACTTGGGTATCCGATTTAAATGTGACCTAACGGCCAGGTCGCGTTCATCCGACTATTCTGATCGGCGCAAGCAGGGAAAAAAAAAACAACCATGGCGGAATATGAATTATATATTCATATTATAATATGAATATATTTAGCACTTTAACAAGAGCCAGCTGGCTCCGGTCGGACGGCAACTTCAAAATCTTAAGATATGCTCCACCATAGACATAATATAAGCATAGACGCCTCATGGACCGCTCTCGCCTATTGTCGCTGACGAGATTTAGGGCGGCCATCTTGGAGCGGTCCACCACTCCACTCAGCTTTATGTGTTTAGCAGCACAATGACGTATCAGCGGATTTAATCGATCATAACATACTTTTTTGTTACTGGAAACCATATTCAAACATCTATCAAAGCAACATTTATGAACAATTGTATTATTTAAGTATGTTTTTAATACATAGTTCATCATAGTTAAATGTTAAATATGCTTAGTGGCTATAACAATAGAATAGGAATGGAATATTCTGATGTCGATGTAATTTATTTAATAAATTATTTAGTAATATCAATACATATTTTATATACAAACACTAATAAATAAAGATTAATAATGGCACAAATAAATAATGATTAATACTGAATTATATATATATATATATATGTTTTTCAGCCGACGAGTCCAAAATCCGATGTGAGATTCATCCGTGCTGCAGTGAATCCGTCTCTCTGTATAGATTTCTCCCTCTTCTTCCTCACATCGTGTCTTTAGGAAACTTTCAAAACAAAAACGGAAGATTTAGGATGTATCTTACTTTTGACAGAGTGAAAGAATATAAATAATAGTCTTTACCACCTGTTTAAACTTTGCCGGTGAATGTTAAAACACATAGGCCTAATA